CAAAGTACAGGATAGTTCTAGAAACGTGGCGTGACACTAGTCATGTGACTTCGCTGACGCAACACATAGATACCCTAAATCTTGAAACAAATTTATTGACAAACTTACTTAGATTTTCTGCTTCCTAGTTAAACAAGACTTATAATATAGCCATTTGGTAAAATAGTCCATCACCAACGAGATGTATATGTTCCTACTGATTTTCTTTGGTAGAGGCTTAATCACATCGACAAGTCTCTCGAGAGGGGTTCCCACACAAAATTCCTGTAGTTTATATCTGTTATTACTTCTATTGTCTTCCCACCTATGACAGCAGGACTTTCGTGGTCTGCTTAACATTACTTCATCAAATTACGTAGATTAATAGGCCAGTTGAACAGCATTGCCAATCATGAAAACCAACAGATTGTTATGGTAAGGTATCATGGAAGGCATATCAAGCACAATTTGAAGTAATTTCCAAAGTGAATGGATTGAAGAGTGAACAACAAGGTATTCTTATTAATGTTGATTTATGTTAGTCAATTTTAACAACATGAAAAACCTCCCTACAGAGAGCCATAACAGCATTAGTAGCTGTCTTATCAAACAGATGTGGAATGTCACATCAAAAGTAAGTTTCTAAAGCAAATGCTAGAAACACGGAAGAAGGAAGGACGAAACTTTACCCAGACTATCTGAATATGTAAAAAGGCTTACCCTGTTACCTTATCTCGATACTCTGTGTGAAGTCATGGATTCGTTGGCACACAAGCAATTCACATATGCCTTAGTGGATGAAGATGTGTGAGTTAGAGTATAGTAGGTATACGTCTTTAAAGAACGATATTCAGTTAATAATAGAATTTGAAGAATAAAAATTGTAGATAAACAGCTAAAGGTATGATCAATGAATTATGATATTATCAGGTCAAATGGTGTAGAAATATAAATTTTCTCTCTGGTGAACGTCTATAATAACTCAAAAGATTACTTGGATAACCATTTATTCATAATGGAAGAAGTAAAGTATAGGGGCATATGAGTGTCAACCGATTTAAGATATACTGACAAGAAATACAAACAAAGAACCTGTGGCAGATATGGCGCGGGCTATTTTCAGGTATGTGGGGTGGGTGGGGGAGGAGGTGAGCCAGATAGAACATCGGTAGGATTTTGCCATCAAGATGTGTTGATCAACAACTTGTTGCACACGCTGATGTGGGTGTCTACGGTAAATTTTGGGGTGGATATAACACCTCAAGCCCCCTTTATCACTGCCTCTAGTTTGGAGAGTTTATAAGTGAGGAGAAATCAGTGCATGATCTAGTTTATTTGTATGTTACTGTCAGCCATTTAGTTAGTTTAACGCTATAAATTTCGAGTTTGTGTTTGCGATGAAATACAAGATGTGCAAAATTGGAAACTATGAGGACTTTTTGTTTAGATTGTTATTATTTGTGAACTGTGGAATTTGTAATTGATAAAATAAACCGATTTTAGTATCCTTTAGTGGACTGGACTTTGCATTATTGTTTTTAACCAAATAATTCAAATGAACCTACCCATGATATAAACCATTACAATAATACTGTGAGGGTAAAAGAAAACAAAAACTTTAAAATATAAAGGTTTGTAAGTTACTTTAATTATTAAATTGTGTTGTAATTACATATGCGTGTAGTGTGTTACGTTAATTATTCAAAATAATAACATAATATTTAGGGACAACAAGGGACCTATTGGTCCATCTCGGCTGTACCATAATCTAAAACGAAACTAAAACTATAAAAAAAATTCAAAAAATAAAATAAAATAAAAATCTTAAAGCCAGCCCTTATCATTTATATAGTGATCAAACTTTCTCTTAAACTTACGTAAATTTACTGCCTCCACAGCATCCAAAAGCAACTCATTCCAGAGCCCAACCACCCTGTTAGAAAAAATAAAACTGTCTTAGCTGAAGATGGCTCCTACCTTGTCAAAATTGATATTTGTGTTCCCTAGCTCTACTGTTATCGCCGTTAAATTTGAAAAAAAAGATGATGCATCAACACTATCAATTCCCTTTACAATCTTAAATACCCCAAAAAGTTCTGATTTTGATTTCTTTTGTATCTAAAGTTATAACTTTGGTTGTAAATTTGCGTTGTACGAATTACAACAGCATTTATATTGTTGAAAACAATATTTTCACCGCTTTAACTTAAGTGTTTCTAGAGGGCACATGAGATTCAGATCCAGTAAGTTCATCTAAGATCTAGCAGGTTACATTAGTTACAAATATGATGGTCAGTGAAGTATTGAGTGCAGTTCTGTCAGTGTTAGTCAGAGTGATATATTTAATGAGAAGTTATTGAGTAGTCATTGAGATTTATCACACCAATCCTTCTACTGAGTTATGTGTTTGTTGATTGGTCAAAGCTAAGTATCAAAGTTAGGCATACCTCTTCCACTTTGTATTGAATCTGAAAGTGAAACGTATTTGAAGTTAGGCCTACAGTTAGCTGTTGATTTTATATTAAAAACTTTATATATTTGAACTTTGGCCTACAAGTACAACCTGTGTCAATGTGAATGTAACCTGTAGAAACGTTATACACATAGGAAAGAATAAAGTATATGTAATTCGTTATCATCATATGTGGATTTCACTTTATTTTCACCAAATGACCTTAAAGAACCAGACCAATGATAGAGCATATTACAACATTTTAAAGTTGTTTCGCTTTTGAATGGCACCTACTTGTATTGATTATAGTTTTCGCTGATATTTTACTTTTGCGTGCACAGAGTGATTATAACTATAAGGAGAGCCCATGATATTTAAATAGACATATATGTTCAAAATTAATTGCTCTAGGGCATAGTTGTACCCATTGCGCTAAGCAGTGGTCGTGGAAAGGGTATGAGAAACAAAAGAAAAAAAATGAAAACAAAACTGAGCTCAAGAAATATTGATTATAGTTTTCGCTGATATTTTACCTTTGCGTGCACAGAGTGATTATAAGTATAAGGAGAGCCCATATTTAAATGGACATATATGTTTAAAAT